GAGTTAGAGACAACTGGTACAACTATTATCAGCAAAGAGTCGACAACGGCATTTGTGACTACTGCTGCTCCATCAGAGACAACGTCTCATGAGGTGTTACTAACCACAAAACAGAGAGAGGAGTTAGAGACAACTGGTACAACTATTACCAGCAAAGAGTCGACACGGGCATTTGTGACTACTGCTGCTCCGTCAGAGACAACGCCTCATGAGGTGTTACTAACCACAAAACAGAGAGAGGAGTTAGAGACAACTGGTACAACTATTATCAGCAAAGAGTCGACAACGGCATTTGTGACTACTGCTGCTCCATCAGAGACAACGTCTCATGAGGTGTTACTAACCACAAAACAGAGAGAGGAGTTAGAGACAACTGGTACAACTATTACCAGCAAAGAGTCGACACGGGCATTTGTGACTACTGCTGCTCCGTCAGAGACAACGTCTCATGAGGTGTTACTAACCACAAAACAGATAGAGGAGTTAGAGACAACTGGTACAACTGTTATTAGCAAAGAGTCGACACCAGCATTTGTGACTACTGGTGCTCCGCCAGAGACAACGCCTCATGAGGTGTTACTAACGACGAAGCAGATAGAGGAGTTAGAGACAACTGGTACAACTATTATCAGCAAAGAGTCGACACCGGCATTTGTGACTACTGCTGCTCCGTCAGAGACAACGTCTCATGAGGTGTTACAAACCACAAAACAGATAGAGGAGTTAGAGACAACTGGTACAACTGTTATCAGCAAAGAGTCGACAACGGCATTTGTGACTACTGCTGCTCCATCAGAGACAACGTCTCATGAGGTGTTACTAACCACAAAACAGAGAGAGGAGTTAGAGACAACTGGTACAACTATTACCAGCAAAGAGTCGACACGGGCATTTGTGACTACCGCTGCTCCGTCAGAGATAACGTCTCATGAGGTGTTACTAACCACAAAACAGATAGAGGAGTTAGAGACAGCTGGTACAACTGTTATTAGCAAAGAGTCGACACCAGCATTTGTGACTACTGGTGCTCCGTCAGAGACAACGCCTCATGAGGTGTTACTAACGACGAAGCAGATAGAGGAGTTAGAGACAACTGGTACAACTATTACCAGCAAAGAGTCGACACGGGCATTTGTGACTACTGCTGCTCCGTCAGAGACAACGTCTCATGAGGTGTTACTAACCACAAAACAGATAGAGGAGTTAGAGACAACTGGTACAACTGTTATCAGCAAAGAGTCGACAAGGGCATTTGTGACTACTGCTGCTCCGTCAGAAACAACGTCTCATGAGGTGTTACTAACCACAAAACAGATAGAGGAGTTAGAGACAACTGGTACAACTATTATCAGCAAAGAGTCGACAACGGCATTTGTGACTACTGCTGCTCCATCAGAGACAACGTCTCATGAGGTGTTACTAACCACAAAACAGAGAGAGGAGTTAGAGACAACTGGTACAACTATTACCAGCAAAGAGTCGTCACGGGCATTTGTGACTACTGCTGCTCCGTCAGAGACAACGTCTCATGAGGTGTTACTAACCACAAAACAGATAGAGGAGTTAGAGACAACTGGTACAACTGTTATTAGCAAAGAGTCGACACCAGCATTTGTGACTACTGGTGCTCCGTCAGAGACAACGCCTCATGAGGTGTTACTAACGACGAAGCAGATAGAGGAGTTAGAGATAACTGGTACAACTATTATCAGCAAAGAGTCGACACCGGCATTTGTGACTACTGCTGCTCCGTCAGAGACAACGTCTCATGAGGTGTTACAAACCACAAAACAGATAGAGGAGTTAGAGACAACTGGTACAACTATTACCAGTAAAGAGTCGACACGGGCATTTGTGACTACTGCTGCTCCGTCAGAGACAACGTCTCATGAGGTGTTACTAACCACAAAACAGATAGAGGAGTTAGAGACAACTGGTACAACTGTTATCAGCAAAGAGTCGACAACAGCATTTGTGACTACTGCTGTTCCATCAGAGACAACGTCTCATGAGGTGTTACTAACCACAAAACAGAGAGAGGAGTTAGAGACAACTGGTACAACTATTACCAGCAAAGAGTTGACACGGGCATTTGTGACTACTGCTGCTCCGTCAGAGATAACGTCTCATGAGGTGTTACTAACCACAAAACAGATAGAGGAGTTAGAGACAACTGGTACAACTGTTTTTAGCAAAGAGTCGACACCAAAATTTGTGACTACTGGTGCTCCGTCAGAGACAACGCCTCATGAGGTGTTACTAACCACAAAACAGATAGAGGAGTTAGAGACAACTGGTACAACTGTTATCAGCAAAGAGTCGACACCGGCATTTGTGACTACTGCTGCTCCGTCAGAGACAACGTCTCATGAGGTGTTACAAACCACAAAACAGATAGAGGAGTTAGAGACAACTGGTACAACTATTACCAGTAAAGAGTCGACACGGGCATTTGTGACTACTGCTGCTCCGTCAGAGACAACGTCTCATGAGGTGTTACTAACCACAAAACAGATAGAGGAGTTAGAGACAACTGGTACAACTGTTATCAGCAAAGAGTCGACAACGGCATTTGTGACTACTGCTGCTCCATCAGAGACAACGTCTCATGAGGTGTTACTAACCACAAAACAGAGAGAGGAGTTAGAGACAACTGGTACAACCATTACCAGCAAAGAGTCGACACGGGCATTTGTGACTACTGCTGCTCCGTCAGAGATAACGTCTCATGAGGTGTTACTAACCACAAAACAGATAGAGGAGTTAGAGACAACTGGTACAACTGTTATTAACAAAGAGTCGACACCAGCATTTGTGACTACTGGTGCTCCGTCAGAGACAACGCCTCATGAGGTGTTACTAACGACGAAGCAGATAGAGGAGTTAGAGACAACTGGTACAACTGTTATTAGCAAAGAGTCGACACGGGCATTTGTGACTACTGCTGCTCCGTCAGAGACAACGTCTCATGAGGTGTTACTAACCACAAAACAGATAGAGGAGTTAGAGACAACTGGTACAACTGTTATCAGCAAAGAGTCGACACCGGCATTTGTGACTACCGCTGCTCCGTCAGAGACAACGCCTCATGAGGTGTTACTAACCACAAAACAGAGAGAGGAGTTAGAGACAACTGGTACAACTATTATCAGCAAAGAGTCGACACCGGCATTTGTGACTACTGCTGCTCCATCAGAGACAACGTCTCATGAGGTGTTACTAACCACAAAACAGAGAGAGGAGTTAGAGACAACTGGTACAACTATTACCAGCAAAGAGTCGACACGGGCATTTGTGACTACTGCTGCTCCGTCAGAGATAACGTCTCATGAGGTGTTACTAACCACAAAACAGATAGAGGAGTTAGAGACAACTGGTACAACTATTACCAGCAAAGAGTCGACACGGGCATTTGTGACTACTGCTGCTCCGTCAGAGATAACGTCTCATGAGGTGTTACTAACCACAAAACAGATAGAGGAGTTAGAGACAACTGGTACAACTATTATCAGCAAAGAGTCGACACCGGCATTTGTGACTACTGCTGCTCCGTCAGAGACAACACCCCTTGAGGTGATACTAACAACAAAACAGATAGAGGAGTTAGAGACAACTGGTACAACTATTATCAGCAAAGAGTCGACACCGGCATTTGTGACTACTGCTGCTCCGTCAGAGACAACACCCCTTGAGGTGATACTAACAACAAAACAGATAGAGGAGTTAGAGACAACTGGTACAACTATTATCAGCAAAGAGTCGACACCGGCATTTGTGACTACTGCTGCTCCGTCAGAGACAACACCCCTTGAGGTGATACTAACAACAAAACAGATAGAGGAGTTAGAGACAACTGGTACAACTGTTATTAGCAAAGAGTCGACACCAGCATTTGTGACTACTGGTCCTCCGTCAGAGACAACGCCTCATGAGGTGTTACTAACGACGAAGCAGATAGAGGAGTTAGAGACAACTGGTACAACTATTATCAGCAAAGAGTCAACACCGGCATTTGTGACTACTGCTGCTCCGTCAGAGACAACACCCCTTGAGGTGATACTAACAACAAGACAGATAGAGGAGTTAGAGACAACTGGTACAACTGGTACAACTGTTATCAGTAAAGAGTCGACACCGGTATATGTGACTACTGCTGCTCCGTCAGAGACAACGCCTCTTGAGGTGTTACTAACGACGAAGCAGATAGAGGAGCTAGAGACGACTGCTACAACTGTTATAAGCAAAGAGTCGACACCGGCATCTGTGACTACTGCTGCTCCGGCAGAGACAACGTCTCATGAGGTGTTACTAACCACAAAACAGATAGAGGAGTTAGAGAAACCTGGTACAACTGTTATCAGCAAAGAGTCGACACCGGCATTTGTGACTACAACAAATCAGATAGAGGAGTTAGAGACAACTGGTACAACTGGTACAACTGTTATCAGTAAAGAGTCGACACCGGTATATGTGACTACTGCTGCTCCGTCAGAGACAACGCCTCTTGAGGTGTTACTAACGACGAAGCAGATAGAGGAGCTAGAGACAACTGGTACAACTGTTATAAGCAAAGAGTCGACACCGGCATCTGTGACTACTGCTGCTCCGTCAGAGACAACACCTCATGCGGTGATACTAACAACAAAACAGATAGAGGAGTTAGAGACAACTGGTACAACTATTATCAGCAAAGAGTCGACACCGGCATCTATGACTACTGCTGCTCCGTCAGAGACAACACCTCATGAGGTGATACTAACAACAAAACAGATAGAGGAGTTAGAGACAACTGGTACAACTATTATCAGCAAAGAGTCGACACGGGCTTTTGTGACTACTGCTGCTCCGGCAGAGACAACGTCTCATGAGGTGTTACTAACCACAAAACAGATAGAGGAGTTAGAGAAAACTGGTACAACTGTTATCAGCAAAGAGACGACACCGGCATTTGTAACTACTGCTGCTCCGTTAGAGACGATGCCTCATGAGGTGTTACTAACGACGAAGCAGATAGAGGAGTTAGAGACAACTGGTACAACTGTTATCAGCAAAGAGTCGACACCAGCATTTATGACTACTGCTGCTTCATCAGAAACAACACCATATGAGATGCTATTGACAACGAAGCAAATAGGAGAGCTAGAAACGACTGGTACAACTGGATCTGCTGCTCTCTCGAAAGAAACTACAACCCCATCAATTTTTACTGGCCAAACAACTGCCGCGGAGAGCACACCTAGATCTATAGCCATCACTACCTCGAGGTCGACAACACAAATGGAGTCAATAGACCTCACAACAGTTCCTATCGGTACCACCTTTAATGTATTCAATTTAACGCAAGCTACAATGTCTACCATACCCGGTTATACAAGAGCCGCCACTGCCACCGGTAGATCACTGGAAACAACGTCTCAAGTAACGACAGTGATAACAAGCATGCCATTGACGACCCTGCTAACTACAACCAGACCATCCGTCGCTACAGAAAATATAGTACCCGTTGCAAATATTACTGACAAACCGCTGAATCTAAGCGGCTTATGCTGCCAAAACAGCGAATGTCAAGAGACAGAGATATGTTTGGGCAAGCAATGTGTCAACGTATGTAAAGTGGGGGGCAAGTGCGCTCCTAATGCCATCTGTGCTGCGGTCAATCACTCAGCTGTTTGTTCGTGCCCACCAAGACATTTTGGAGATCCAAGGAAGAAGTGCATTCAAGGTATAACATGGTATAGATCAATCCCTTGTTTTTTTGTAAATACTTGTAAATAGTTTAAAGATTAGAGTAACAAGAGCACAACTTAATATTTAATAACCAGATTTGCACATATTATTACTACTAGCACATGTGTTCGTGGGGTTTGTAGAAAGACTGGCCCCGTACGATTGCCGTACTCTTATATGGAAGGAAATAAATCTGACCACCTGACAAAACTACAGCTTACAGATGACAACAGAAAGGTGTTGGTCTGCTAGCCTTACACATCACTGTTTAGACCAGTGTCCTGTCAGGTACCCACTATGGTCCTTATGACCTTCCCGCCAAATCCGAGTGGATCTTTTGTAAATGCGCACTTTGTTCTTTGATTAACTCTTTTGTCTGCTTTTGCTCTAACAGGTTGTACCACCATTATAGGGACTTTTTCTTGGTCCAGTCTCTTACAGATTGTTTAGTGCGTGTTCTCTTCACGCCACAGAAGGACTCTGTAACTATAAGGCGATTAGCACATTTACTCCGAGTACGTGGATGAAACCACAGCCGACGTCAACTACGAGCCGTGATGAAAGAAAGGCAACACCGCGCTCGGACGGCATGGTAGTGCTACCTGTGAACGTCGGCCGCCAGCGGCTGTGTGCTCCGTCTCCGTGTAACGTTCAAGAACTAAATTTAATTTTGGAAAAGAGGACAGTTCGATTCGATACAAATCGTCTGAATATCAAATAGCTCTAAAAAATTTAAAAACGAAATAATCGTGATATATCTGAGTCGCTAATTCAGTTAACCTAATTAAAAGTATATAGTTTACGTTTTTTGGTGTCAGTACACTGTGTTCCAACAGGCCCAGCTTGGAAATGTGGAGTTACCTGTTTGTTTTTAATACATTTACTTTCAGTTTTACTGTTATTTTTCAATTTTACATAATCATTCAAAATTATGTTTGGAAAAATAGACAAAAGCTTAGATAAAATATCTGCATAAGTCGGCCACAGATGCAAGTTAAAGAAAATTCACTGTATATAAACTCAGACTGAATGCTGAGCAAGGTTAACTGACTCAAAATAAATTTTTGATTATTGCTTTTCAAGAAGAAAATTTCCAATCTATCTACATTAATAATAGATTCAAAAATGGCATACATATGGTAGAATATGATTGGTACATAACTGGTTGGAATTGACAGTCCTCCTCTTTGCAAATGATCAAAATAAACATTTGTTGTTAATGAACCTTTTTCTTTAACTATTTGCATATCTCGCAGTTTAGGTTTTTAGAGATAGCGTGTGAAGCATATCCATATATATAAGTCTTAGTACTATCCTCTATGTCACAATTGGTTAAGTAATTTGTCTCAAATACTTCATTGAATATATCCAAAACTTCAGGATTTTGTTTGGTAACCAAGAAATCAAAATTTTCTTGAGTTTCTAAGCAGTTTTGGAACCTTGTTTTAATTTCTGCTAAAGAAAATGACGATTTCTTTTCATTGAAAATATGCTTCAGCCGTATTTTCTTTTCAGCATTTAAAATTTCATTATATGACACATTGTAATTGCAGCCACATAAAAGTCTATAATTGCCAAATCGTTTTTCTAAATTATCAGTGGTGAATTTTCCAGGCAATACATTCTCAATGTCAAATTGATTAAATGAATATTCAATTATATTAAGTAGAGTCAGCGTGCTTTGATACAGAGCTGTATACGTTTCTGGTGTCAGGTGTCGATTATTATTCTCTAGATTATGCCATTTTTCTAACCATATCAGGAATTTTTTTAAAAATTGTACTCTATAATCATATTTATTGGTAATAGGCTTACAAAATTCGTTTCGCTTCAATTCTCCTTTTATTACACTTGTATTACTGACAATATCTCACCAATTCCTGATTATTTCCAAAAAGTGTGCAGCATCATTAAACTTTAATTCTTTCATAGCAGCTATTGTTGAGTGATGGAATAAATTATCTACAAAATTTACATTTTGCCTTTCAAATGAATTTGGATGCAATGTTTTATAATTTAATTTATATGCTTTCTTAACAACAGCTTCTTTTTCCAATTGATATACAGCACGAATGTTTTCAAATTTAGCATACTGAATAATATCATTATTGTCAAAATTTGGATAAACAAAAGTTTTGTCTAGGTTTTTTAAATTAATCCAATTATTTCTGATACTCTTGAAAATATGCACAACATCATAAGTTAAATATATGTTCTTATCAGGATTATGTGGATTTGGAATAGAATAATTTTCTGATGAATCCTTTGCTAATTTCCTGAACATTGCTCTATTAATTCATAACAACACAAATAACCTCAAATCCACATTTTTGAACTAAATTTGTCTTTGATCTTATCCATATCATCGAAATTCTGGATATCTTTTTCATGTTTTTCAATTAATTTTTGTTTTCTTTGCATTGGGTCAGTTCTTTTGGGTGCTTCAGTTTTTGAAAAATATGATGGCAAGTTTGGGAAAATGGAGGGAACAGCATTTTCTTTCAATTTTGGATATTTCAAAGGTATATTATTTTGGACTGTTCCATCCAAAACTATATTTTCTGCCCTGATGATATCCGATTCTCTAAAATGACGACTGCACACAGCTGAATATTTTGAAGGTGTCCAATTTTTTCTGGGAATTGCCATAAGCCATTTGTTTTTCAGACTTTCGGTACTTGGGAAGCGAAAAGTTGAAACATAGCTTTCTGTTTTCAAAGCAGAATTATAGTTTGCATTGCATAAAGGAACACAGCAACAACGAGGCATATTGTCTGCGTCAAATACTTGATAAATGAAAAAAAAAATACAAGCTGAATTTGCACGTTTTCAATAGTTGAAATCCTTAGCGTCCTGAGGCGCGAACAGCTACAGTCACACTTCTTAGTTTATTTTTAAAGCACAGAAGCACTACAACTGGAGTCTATTTCTCATATATTATAGTCACCCATCACTTTGAACACATACACACACTTTGAAGCTTAGAAAACAAGCTTATCTCTTAATTACAGCCTCTGGGATTCCAAAATCACAAATTGAAAAGGTTATGTTTTCTCAGCGTTTTGAGCACGAGTTGCGTCGATGCAGCAAGCAGCGGCGGGAGTAACACTACCACCTACGTTGCCAGATTTCTTTGTTCACGGCTCGTAGTTGACGTCGACTGTGATGAAACGTTCTACCCTTTTTAAATCAGTGTTTTAATTTTAATTCACTCATAGGAATCAAAAATATACAATCAACTTGGAACTGGTATAAATATCAAATCCTCAACACCTGCCCCCTTGTTCAAGCAAATATTACTAATAATTGCTAACTATGAATATCTGACAACTTCAAAACCTCACGAAAAGTTAGGCTTGTATTCTGTGAGCACCTAATAACCATGTGCTATTAGTAAAAAACGATTCTTGCATGCTTTTTCAAATTAATTTGGCCAAGGATTAACCCCGTAAATAGCTACCTAAAACATATATATATTGTGTAATATATTAAACAACTAATCAGCTAACCTCCATACTAGCGCCACCTAGCGAGCGGGCTCCTAAACCGTGTAAGTCAGACATGGACTGTCTCGAGTCTGAGGCATGTTACATGTCACTGTGTCAAGACCCGTGCGAGTTCACAGACGCATGTGCAAAAACGGCGGTGTGTCAGGCCAAAATGCACAGGCCCACCTGCACGTGTCCCATGGGATACGAGGGAAACCCCGCTACTAATTGCTTCAAATCGTCTACAAGTAAGATCATGTTTAATGTACATGTTGCAGTTGGGAAAACTGAAACTATAGAATCTTCAGCTCCGTTCGACTTTTGTATCAAACTCTTTTCCTTACATTCCTAAAATAGTTTAGCATTTTCTGCTTATATTGTCATTTCAGTTTTATAATAACTGATTCCTAAGAAATTGGAAGATAAATTTTATTTTAGCAGTAGAAGAAAAATGTATATAGCAGGCAGCAGGAAAAAAGGCGTCTCTTAGACATGTACTACTGAAGCACCTTTGCCAATGCGAAAAACAGTTGAAGCATTAAGGAATTTATTGAGCTTCTTGCTGTCATCGCGATGACAAATACTAAAGGTGCCTTAGACTTCACTTCACCTCCCACGCCAAATTCGTAACTTGTTATATAAGTAACTATTGCGTATACTCATTGTTAGAAAATGTAAAATAGCTGTAAAAATACAGTTGATTAAAGATACTACACTTACAATCTACTAACAAGCTGATTGATTTATTTATCAGTTTTCTTTACTGTATATTCATATATATTCTAATAGTCGTTGATCACACTACTTCTCACAAGTCAACAATAACTGTCTAATAAATTAAACAAGACTTAAAACCACCAATAACTATAACTGATTATTGTTATATATTTTTAGTAATTCTTATCTAGACCACCTATACATACTACACAAAAGGAGAATGACTAGGAGGCTCTGATGGCGGTTTTGATATTATTTAAATTTTAATGATTACTTAGAATGGACGTACTCACAAGGAGCTACTTGTCACGTCCATCACATTTCAAGATATACACCTATACAGGGTGTTTCAGTTTGTTGTTGCATAACTTTAAGATTCGATAGAACTTTTAAAATTAATGCATAAAGTCTATATAAACATGAGTCGAAAAATGCGTGGCTTCCGAAATACAGGGTGTTTAAATTTAGTTTTTAAAATAGTTTTTTTTAAATATTTCGAACAATATTTGATGTATAACAGTGAAAATTGGTATACAAGGGTTTTTTAGTACGACAAAACGAACCATGGGCATAGTTTTACTGTAGCCGCTAGAGGGCGCTCTCTACTGTACCTGTAGTGTATTAAAATGACCGAAAATTTTTACTTAGTGCAATTTTTTGCTTTTTGAATAAAAAAACTGATTCTTCGCACTTTTCTGCATAAAAAAGCTCTCCTGTGAGTTTTCGTTATAGTTAGCCGTTTTTGAGAAATTCGATTTTTAAGGTTCGATGCATTTTTAATTATTTATGGGAAAATAATATTTTTTTTACATTTTCGATTTGGGCATTACAAGTAATTAAGATGATCGTTTAGATTGTGTTTTTGAACACAACAATAATTCCTAACTCCAAATAAACACAAAAAAACAGAATATTAATTTGTTTAATTTTCCAATATTATTTTTAACAAATTAAATTAATTATTTACAACTAAAATGCTATTTAATAGTTAGGACAATCATACAAAATCTAAAGTAGTTGCTCGAAATGTAAACCCAATTGTTCAATACACAATTCACATCTACCAATGATCGAACGTGGTATAGCATTATTCAAATAAGGCCTTATTTCATCACATGCATTCCTGATTCTGTCTATTAGCATATCTCTTGTGGTTACGGGAGTCTGGTACACTTTTTCTTTTAGAAATCCCCACACAAAGAAATCCAATGGATTTAGGTCAGGGGATCGTGGACGCCATGCGACTGGTCCTCCACGGCCGATCCATCTTTCTGGATAATTTTCGTCCAGCTAGTTTCTAACTATTCTCGAATAATGAGCTGGACAACCATCAAGCTGGAACCAGGCCAATCTTCTTAAATCTAACATAACATCGTCCCACATATTTGCATGTTCAGACTTTAAAAATTCCAAGAAACTCTGTGGTCGGATCTCTATCAAACTCACGCAGAATCATACGGGTAAATCATTTATGTTTTGATCCCTTTGGAGATTTCCAAAACCATTTTCAATTATTTGGCGATGCACTCTTACAAATACTGAGCGAGTTGGATGTCGTCTGTTTGGAAATCTTCGTGCGTATTCTCTGGCTGCTTCTGCTGCGTTTCCATTTACAAAGCCATACACAAAATGAATATCCGCTAACTCTTGATTGGAGAATAAAAATGGCATTTTTATAAAACTTACAAAAAAAAAACAGGTAGAAGAAACTAAATTTCGTGCATTCACAATTGCAAAAAAACGTTTCAGGTTCCAACAGACCACAAAATTAACTGTCAACTAATTGACGTTTAACCTTATTCTGCTTTCAATTTCAAAATATTTGCAGGCACAGCCTACTTCTAAAAATTATCGAGATACTGACTTTTTAACGTTATTTTATCATAAATAATTAAAAATGCATCGAACCTTAAAAATCGAAATATCTCAAAAACGGCTAACTATAACGAAAATTCACAAGAGAGCTTTTTTATGTTGAAAAGTGCGAAGAATCAGTGTTTTTATTCAAAAGCAAAAAATTGCACTAAGAAAAAATTTTCGGTCATATTAATACAGTAAAACTATGCCCATGATTCGTTTTGTCGTACCAAAAAATCCTTGTATACCAATTTTTACTGTTATACATCAAATATTGTTCGAAATATTTAAAAAAAACTATTTTAGAAAGTAAATCTAAACATCCTGTATTTCGGAAGCCACGCATTTTTCGACCCATGTTTATATAGAATTTATGCATTAATTTTAAAAGTTCTATCGAATCTTAAAGTTATGCAACAATAAACTGAAACACCCTGTATATTTGCATTGTCATGGTTTCATTAATGTCTTCAGCAGAGCCGAGTCGGAATTCAAAATCACTGAAGATATAATCTCAATTCTTCCTGAATCGTAAAGGATGATGTATCACGTGCGACCAGGAGTTGGCTAGGGCAAAATTTCTCTAGGTTGTAGAATCAAGGACCAAAAAATCTGTAATGAGTTAGACTAAAATTTGCACGGTTATTTATGTCCTCTGCGAAAAAGGTCCGTCATATACCTAAAGGAGCACCAAGAGGGCAACTGATAGAAAGTGGGCGTAGTTCTATTACCTTTCAGGGAACTGTATATCTGCAAACTGATAGAATAGTCGCTCCTCAAATCATTATCGGAGAGAAGTGTATTAAATATTTTACTGAAAATGGATACATTCTGAAACTTATTTGATAAGCGTCAACAGCTGTCAGAATTTGGGAACATTTACCAGGAAGCAATCCCTGGAAGAGGTAATACGCGTAAGCTCAAAACAGTAGGATAGCTAAAGATGGTTCAGGAGCATTTATCGTGAAGTGCATGGAATGAGCTGGTGCTGAACCATCCCTTGACAAAGAGCATTGCAGATGCATGGATAACGCGATTGGTTCATGTTCTATGGTTGGCTCACCGCGCCATAAAAAATGTCAGTCACCATACGTTTTTTGCACCTTACCCCACAATCCATGTGATTCTTCTCCATGTGGCCTTAACTCACAATGTACAATTCTCAGAAACAGTCTCGCACCTGTCTAACTGGTTTCCTTGCAATACCATGCGTCAAGGGTAAGACCCATTTCCGGCCAAGGGTCTATTTCTGATCCCATTACAGAACCTGTTTTGTATCTACCCCAGGCAGCAGCGGTGGCCGCAGTAGTAGACTATTCGGTCTCCTGATCAGTCGTCGTGCGCTGTGCGGGTTCGAGTCCCGTCCCAGGAGAAATTTTTCTCTTGGCTATGGATGTTGTGATTGTCCGTAGGTGGTAGATGGTCTCTGACTGTCTAACGTGGAGGTACCACCCGGCGGATCTCGTAGGCGGAGCCAGAATGTATGCTTGTTGCATGCACACGTGTTCCCTCGCCAGAGTCCGTGTGGCGTTTCACCTTTCCCCTGTATCCCCCTATAGCCCCACAGTACCCAATGGGTGTTTAGGCCTTAGGCCTTCGTGGTAGTAGGAATATAAAAAAAAATAGGAACCGTCGGAAATCCCTTCAGACGCTGTTCAGAACCTAAAATTACCACGTTCTGCAGTCCCCGGGCATTGTACACCTAACGCGGATTGTCTATGTCAGCGACAATCAAGAGTAATGTTATTGCATCGGCTACACGTGCAAAGATCCAGATCTCGTATGTAGTGGCATAAACATTGTTTGCAGCTACTTTAATATAACCGAATGTAGACTGCACTCTTCCATCACCTGTATGCAAGTGTACGTGGCCCTTTACGTAGACAAGACGAGTTGAAGCAAAACTTTTGAAAAGTCTTGACGCTACATATAACCTTAAACAACATTGTCATACCATCGACGGAGCCTCCTATGTTCTGAATTGTATCAAAATGTACGTATGTATATGTAAAACCAGTTTACTTGTACATACTCATCTTGACTCACACTCATCTATCTCTCTTCGCACCCTTTCTACCTCCAACAGCTAGTTGCACTAGAAACGAGGATTGTCCGCATGACGAGGCGTGCATAGACAGGGCGTGCCAGAAACCGTGCGACGTACGTAACCCGTGCGCCAGACATGCGGTCTGCATCAACGTCAACCATGGGTCGGACTGCTCGTGCGAGGAGGGATTCCAGGGAAACGCATACGTTGGATGTACAGCTGGTAAGTTAAAATTCCCTTAAAAAAATGTACAACCTCTTCTATTCGTCATTGTCTATAGGACCTCTGTCTCTTGGTTAAGCCTTTATACAGGGTGACTTCGTGAGTAGATCTGATCAAAAGAAATGTTTTTTTCCTTTAACATTTTCGTGGTAAAATTAAAGTAACAAACTTATAGCCCTTTAGAAGTTTGAGTACCTCCCTGTCTCAATAATAATATTATGTGCTCGTGTTTGGCAACAACGGGTATACTCCGCCTTATCGGTTCATCGCATCGGAAACACACAAGCGAATGAATTTGAAACGCTGATCACGATGTTTTTATTCAGTCAGTGTCAGTCGGTAACGCGTGAGTGAATAGTGGTGTTTGCTGCGTGGCTCAAACGAAATAAAAAATGGCACATATTTATGCGGATCGGTTTCCCAATCGAGTGCAACCAACCCCTCGTGCCTTTGTTAATGTAGTACAACGGGCTCGTGAATCAGGTGACTTAAGACCTCACAGGGGAGGGCATGCCGGTGCTCCAAGACCTCACGATCAAATACAGGTCCGCACTGAAATACTTGTCGGGAGGATACTTTATAAAACAAGGTAAATTTTTTTTTTATTTTTACACACATATTTTGGTTTATCTTCCTTCTACAATCATTATCTGAAAATTAATGACTCAACTTCAAAGTCACCCTGTATAATAGCAAGTCCATCCTGTCTGGTTGTCCAGTTACTAGACAAGATCAGGGAGGAAAATAAAAGACTGACTAAATCATTTATAAATAGTGTATGAATGATAGGCCCGAGAAACGAACCCTGAGGGACGTTGGCGCTAGTGGGTTATAATATCTACAGAGAATTATTCATTTTGATCCAAGCTTACTATCTTTAGGGACCAGATGTATCGTTTTTAAGGCTAAATAAATTGTCCTCTTTGTTCTGCTTCAGAATCTATTAACTATCACTTTTGCCCAACATTGTTTTCATTTTCTGAATAAAATCTGTAAATCATATAACAATTTCGACATACAGTCTCTTTCAATGATCTCTTAGAAATCGGCACTAAGTCCTTATTTCTGTACTTATTATCAAACTTTACTTAGCTATCACTGGAAGACAAAATGTTCAACCATTCCGCTCTATATACAGGGTGTTTCAGTTTATTGTTGCATAACTTTAAGATTCGATAGTACTTTTAAAATTAATGCATAAAGTCTATATAAACATGGGTCGAAAAATGCGTGGCTTCCGAAATACAGGGTGTTTAAATTTACTTTCTAAAATAGTTTTTTTTAAATGTTTCGAACAATATTTGATGTATAACAGTGAAAATTGGTATACAAGGGTTTTTTTTTACGACAAAACGAACCATGGGCATAGTTTTACTGTAGCCGCTAGAGGGCGCTCTCTACTGTACCTGTAGTGTATTAAAATGACCGAAAAATTTTTCTTAGTGCAATTTTTTTGCTTTTTGAATAAAAAAACTGATTCTTCGCACTTTTCAACATAAAAAAGCTCTCCTGTGAGTTTTCGTTATAGTTAGCCGTTTTTGAGATATTTCGATTTTTAAGGTTCGATGCATTTTTAATTATTTATGGGAAAATAATATTTTTTTTTTACATTTTCGATTTGGGCATTACAAGTAATTAAGATGGTCGTTTAGATTGTGTTTTTAAACAAAGCAATAATTCCTAACTCCAAATAAACACAAAAAAACAGAATATTAATTTGTTTAACTTTCCAATATTATTTTTAACAAATTAAATTAATTATTTACAACTAAAATGCTATTGTATAGTTAGGACAAACATACAAAATCTAAAGTAGTTGCTCGAAATGTAAACCTAATTGTTCAATACACAATTCACATCTACGAATGATCGAACGTGGTATAGCATTATTCAAATAAGGCCTTATTTCATCACATGCATTCCTGATTCTGTCTATTAGCATATCTCTTGTGGTTACGGGAGTCTGGTACACTTTTTCTTTTAGAAATCCCCACACAAAGAAATCTAACGGATTTAGGTCAGGGGATCGTGGAGGCCAGGCGACTGGTCCTTCACGGCCGATCCATCTTTCTGGATAATTTTCGTCCAGTCAGTTTCTAACTATTCTCGAATAATGAGCTGGACAACCATCAAGCTGGAACCAGGCCAATCTTCTTAAATCTAACATAACATCATCCCGCATATTTGCATGTTCAGCCTTTAAAAGTTCCAAGAATGTCGCAGCATTTAACCTTGCAGGCAAAAGGTAGGGTCCAAATAGTTGATTACGGTAGATACCAATCCACACGTTCTCACTAAATTCATGCTGACAATTTCTTTTCCGAACTGCATGCGGATTTTCATGCGACAAATATGTTGATTATGAAAATTTACCACTCCACGTCTAGTGAAGCATGACTCATCGGTCCATAAAACGTTACTTAAAAACTCCCTATTATTATCAGTTCTATCAAGAATCCACTGACAAAATGTGATTCTTCGTTCTCCGTCCCCTGGCTGTAGTCCTTGCACAGGTTGCAAATTGTAAGGACGTCTATGGTCATTTCTAAGAACACGGTGAACATGGCTTGCTGAAATTCCCAAGGCACCAGAAACTCTCCTAACACTTGTGGTCGGATCTCTATCAAACTCACGCAGAATCATACGGGTAAACCTGCGCTGACGAACATTTATGTTTTGATCCCTTTGGAGATTTCCAAAACCATTTTCAATTATTTGGCGATGCACTCTTACAAATACTGAGCGAGTTGGATGTCGTCTGTTTGGAAATCTTCGTGCGTATTCTCTGGCTACTTCTGCTGCGTTTCCATTTACAAAGCCATACACAAAATGAATATCCGCTAACTCTTGATTGGAGAATAAAAATGGCATTTTTATAAAACTTACAAAAAAAAACAGGTAAAAGAAACTAAGTTTCGTGCATTCACAATTGCAAAAAAACGTTTCAGGTTTCAACAGAGAACAAAACTAATTGTCAACTAATTGACATTTAACCTTATTCTGCTTTCAATTTCAAAAATATTTGCAGGCACAGCCTACTTCTAAAAATTATCGAGATACTGACTTTTTAACGTTATTTTATAATAAATAATTAAAAATGCATCGAACCTTAAAAATCAAAATATCTCAAAAACGGCTAATTATAACGAAAATTCACATGAGAGCTTTTTTATGTTGAAAAGTGCGAAGAATCAGTTTTTTTTGTTCAAAAAGCAAAAAATTGCACTAAGAAAAAATTTTCGGTCATTTTAATACACTACACGTACAGTAGAGAGCGCCCTCTAGCGGCTACAGTAAAACTATGCCCATGGTTCGTTTTTTCGTACCAAAAAACCCTTGTATACCAATTTTCACTGTTATACATCAAATATTGTTCGAAATATTTAAAAAAAATTATTTTAGAAAGTAAATTTAAACACACTGTATTTCGGAAGCCACACATTTTTCGACCGATGTTTATATAGACTTTATGCAATAATTTTAAAAGTTCTATCGAATCTTAAAGTTATGCAACAATAAACTGAAACACCCTGTATAATTTCCTCTACTGAAGGGTCCAGCATTAATTTTTCTCCGCTCAAGTTTCTTGAGATCCTATTGAAACTCGTTAGAATATCACTGGAAATCCTAGGATCGACACAGATTTTCTTGGAGTGCTTCAGATATCGTTGTATCGTTCCAGATAAAATCTCTAAGAAAATCTGTTAACACCGCTCTCCATTGCGTTATATCAAATATGTGCTTATATTGTAACCTAGCAACTGAAAAATTTCACGTATTTGTTCAAAAAGTCAAACAATGTTTTGTTCTTCTCCTAAGATATCGCAGAGATGATTTTCCTTCAAAGTTATGACGGAATATGGTCTATTTAGTCTTTAGTGCTCGGTGAGAATCATCACTAATGATGAGTGTCTCTACGCTCATGATCTGTATGCTCTCCTCAAATCTTTATGCATCTATTAGCCCAAAAGATCATTGACGTATCCTCAACTTAGCCTCCAAGCGAACTAACCTTCAGTCTGTTGAGAATAACAGGACCATTGTTGATCTCGCCCCCAGAAATGTTACTGCCTCCAAGAACGCTACTTTGATATCTAATATTACTGTATTATTTTGATTTTAGTGATCGATTACAAACCAGTATGCCAATATAACGAAGACTGCCCACCAAACAAGCTCTGTGATAGACTGAACCGAATATGTATAAGCCCATGCTTCGAAGACTCGTGTGGCGAAAACGCGGAATGTATACCCAAAGACCACGGAATCGATTGCAGATGTCTCCCAGGCCATCAAGGGAACCCATTTGTCGAATGTCTTTTGGTTCAAGGATGCAGGTAAGAGGCTTACGTTTATGCAAATTGAGATCTCGTGTGGTAAACAATGCCAAACTGAAACAATTTTCGTCTTCGTAATTTGAGTTCTGTTTATGCACAACATATACCGAACCGCTTACGAATCTTCAAAATAACGACTATCTATAGGAACTTGTGCACATATGTGATGTTTGCTCTAGATCCGATGACGAATGTGCTTCGAACGAAGCTTGCCTGAACGGTGAATGTACATCGCCCTGCAGATGCGGCACCAACGCCATATGTGAAGTGAACCATCATGTATCCACCTGCAAATGTCCACCCGGTTACCAAGGAGACGCTCACGTCAGCTGTCAACCGCCTCAGAACCCATGCGACCCAAATCCATGCGGACTGAACGCTCTCTGCGAACTGGACAATGGCAACCCTATCTGTTACTGTCCGAAGGGCCTCACTGGAAATCCATTCAAAAATTGCAGTAAGTACTCGCGAATCTATTTTCCTTTACAAGGTCATGATATCTGATTCAATCATTTGTCCGCAACAAACATATAGCCAGTAAACGACCAGTGTATCTCACTGGTGTCGTTCAAAAAATTCTTATATTGCCTATGTTGTTCTCATCATACTGCTTTTTCTTTTCAGTACCTGAAGGCGATGACTGCAAACCAAATCCGTGCGGTCCAAACTCTGGCTGTCGTGTAGTAGGTGGCAACGCAGTTTGTTTCTGTCTCCCAGAATTCGAAGGCACCCCACCACACGTTCCTTGCGCCTTACCCCAGAACCCATGTGATCCATCTCCATGTGGCCCTAACACACAATGTACCATCCTCAGTAACGGCTTTGCCAAGTGCACCTGTCTCCCTGGGTTCCTTGAAAGTCCTAATACCATCCGGGGTTGTGTCGAGGCTAAGAACCCTTGCGAGCCTAATCCGTGTGGCCAAGGAGCCACTTGTGATCCCCTCAGAGAACCTGTTTGTGTCTGCCCAGTAGGAACTGTCGGAAATCCATTCAGAAGCTGCTCAGAACCTAAAATCACCCCGTTATGCAGTCCTGGTCCTTGTGGGCCTAATGCGGATTGCTATGTCAGTAACAATCAAGAGCAATGTTATTGTAGGAGCGGTTATATTGGGAACCCGTATTCTGGATGTAAACTGGAACCAGTAAATCCGTGTACTCCGAACCCTTGCGGTCCAGGAGCACAGTGCGTAGTAACATCAGATGGCAACTCAATGTGTCAATGTCCTGATGGCATGGGAGGTGATCCTACTGGACCTGCAGGCTGTCACGGATACGAATGTGTCGTTGATGAAAATTGTCCCGATCATCAAGCTTGCATCGGATACAAATGTAAAGATCCATGTCCCGGATGTTGTGGCATAAACGCTGTATGCAGGGTAGAACAACACCATCCGATTTGCACCTGCAGACCTGGCTTTATCGGCAATCCACCTGTAAGATGCTATCCGCAACCTGAAAGAATGCCAGAACGTGATCCATGCTTGCCAAGCCCCTGCGGCCAAAACACAGTTTGCCAGGCGATTGGTGGCAGAGCCGTATGTAGCTGCCTACCCGACTTTAACGGTGATCCTCAGACTGGTTGTAAACCTGAATGCACCCTCAACTCAGAATGTCCTTTGAACAAAGCTTGTATTGATCGGCATTGCATAGATCCATGCTCCCTCGGAAACCTGTGTGGCTTGCACGCTACGTGCCAAGTACGAGACCACATCGCTACATGTATCTGTCCTGAAGGGTTTATGGGGGATGCTTTCCTGCAATGTATCCCAACTCCAACCGTTTCCATTCCAAGCTACCCCAATGCCACCATACAACCTTGCCTGCCTTCACCATGTGGAGACACAGAGTGCAACATCTACGGAACCCAAATAGCCATATGTGACCCTTGCTTAGGACCAGGTGCTCCGTATAATCCCCAGTGTCGTCCTGAATGTTTGATCAACGCTGATTGTCCATTTGATAAGGCTTGTCTTGGGTTCTCGTGTGTCGACCCTTGCCCTGGATCTTGCGGAGTCAACGCGGAATGCGTAGTCGTCTCTCACACACCTGTATGTAGCTGTCCAACTGGACTTATTGGAGATCCATTCCAGCACTGCTCTATACCACTAAGTAAGTAAAAACACCACTATTGTCAATTCACATTAAATGTTTTTCATTCAAGAAAACTCTTAAATATGCAACACTCTACCGAATGAGTCTCACAAGCTAGAAAAATCTGTAGTTCAGAACCCTTGGCCTCACCATTGGTGTTTTGAAAATATTTTTGTTGACTCTAATAGAATACTTACTTTTGCAGAGCCTGACCACCGCGTCGAAACCTGCGACACGACCCGTTGTGGAGCAAACGCCATCTGCAAAGACCACAAGAACGCGATATCATGTATTTGCAAGAAAGGTTACTATGGCAACCCTTGGATCGCCTGCAGACCAGAGTGTGTTGTCAACCCCGATTGCCCTCTCAACAAAGCGTGTATCAGCAACAAGTGTGTCGATCCATGCGCTGGTGTCTGCGGTGTTGGAGCCCAATGCGAAGTCACCAACCACATACCGATCTGTTTCTGTCCACCGCAAACTACTGGAGATCCTTTCATCACTTGCTATCCGCATACCTCCACCGAATTGGTACCGATCAGCCCGAATCCTTGTGATCCATCGCCTTGTGGACCTTTCAGTCGATGTCTCGTGTCGCATCAAGGGTTTGCAACATGTTCGTGCTTGCCTGGTTATTGGGGAGCCCCACCAGCTTGTAAACCGGAGTGTATCGTCAGCTCAGAATGTCCACAGACTCAGGCTTGCATCAACAAGAAATGTGTGAATCCTTGCGCGGGTACTTGTGGAGCAAACGCTTTATGTACTGTCATCAATCACAATCCGATATGCAGCTGTCCACCTGGGCAGCAAGGTGATCCTTTCTCAGCTTGCTATACACCCAACGTTCCTGAGGAGCCCAAAACGCCAGAAAATCCATGCGTACCATCGCCTTGTGGACCGAACTCTATTTGCCAAGTAAGACAGGGAAGACCTGTTTGCTCCTGTGATAAAAACTACATCGGTACTCCGCCATACTGCAGGCCAGAGTGTACTCTGAACCAGGAATGTCCACAGAACAAGGCTTGCATCAGGGAGAAATGTGTAGATCCTTGCGTAGAGCTATGCGGCAGGAACGCCAAGTGTAACGTAATCAACCATCAACCATTCTGCGCTTGTTTGGAAGGATTCCAAGGCGACGCCTTCATCGGTTGTTCTAAGATACCTAAACCTCTACCAGCCCCAGATCCGTGCAATCCTTCACCATGTGGCGAGAACGCACAATGCTCGGAAAGCGACGGTGTTGCCAGGTGTACCTGTATACCTCCTTACATCGGCAATCCTTACGTCGGCGGATGCAGACCTGAATGTACAATGAACTCCGAATGTCCCAGCCATTTGGCTTGTCTGTCACAGCACTGTAGGGATCCCTGTCAGGGACTGTGTGGCATCAACGCTGAATGCAGTGTCGTGAACCATGTTCCAGTTTGCACTTGTGGACGAGGATTGATCGGGGATCCATTCACAGCGTGTCGGCAAGCACCACCACAACGTGAGTACAATTCAACTTTCTAGAAATAGTAACTTTATTCATTGTTTGATTCAATTTTCAGCACCATCGAATCCTTGTGAACCATCTCCATGCGGACCAAATAGTGTATGTCGGGTAAGAAACGACCAAGCGATCTGCTCTTGTCAAATCGGTTACTTTGGCACTCCACCACTATGTCGACCTGAGTGTTTGGTCACGTCAGAGTGCAGTTTGGACAAGGCCTGCATCAACCAGAAGTGTCAAGATCCCTGTCCCGGTACTTGTGGAGTGGCTGCCAGGTGTCAGGTGAACAACCACAACCCGATTTGTAGCTGTCCACCGAACTATGTTGGAGATCCATTCATACAGTGTACTAAGCAAGGTAAGATGGATTAGATATTCTTATATTAGATTAGATAGGGTATTTTGAAAATGACAGCTGTGCGTATAAGTGCAAGTAGGTTGGTAAGGAGTACGCCAAATATGTGTGTCATGGTATCAATCTAACAGTTGGATGAATATGATCTTCAAGCAGGTATCATTGTCAAACATTCCGTATGGATAATCCTTTTTGTTGCTGCTTTCAACGGCACGGTGATAAGAACATGTCCATCGGAATGTCTTTCATTTATTGTCTCTTCGGTAGATCCTTAGCTCCTCTGAAACTCGGAAAGTAGGACTCAGACTTTAATGGAATTTTGTCACGACGACAAAAACTTTTGTAAGCTGGTGTAGTGACGCCAGAACAATTAGTAAAACGTCCAAATGGTATACCAAATCCTTTGAACAATCCCAATAGGAAGATGTTGAGGCCATAGCCTAATCTTTACAATCACGAATATTCTTGAGGACCCGTCCTCACCTGGAGACCATGGAGACTTCGACATCGCCAGCAATTGTAGCTAAACTAACCTGTTGAAATATTTGGCGACAAATCATAGCCACGTCAGCTAACAAATAATACTTGAATAGGTCTCTTCGGCTACGATGGTTGCCCCGTCGTCATGCCGTACCCTGACGTCAGGTAGTTAAAGACCAGATAAGCATAGAACATCAAAGAAATGAAATTAGATATTTAGTATGATCTCCGGAGTTTAGTCCGATACTATGAACTTTCAGAAATAATTTGATGTGTCAGCAGAGTAACTGCCTTAGTAGGATTTTTTCTTGACCCAGTGTTAGCTGTTTGAATTGGTTAATGGATTAATGACCGTTTGCTACTGCTGACACTCCATAATAATAAATACAGGGTGGCCCATAAGTCCTTTGAGCTGGAAAAAAAGGAATAAAACCAAACTAGTTACATTATGAAGAATTATTATATTTTGTTATCATCTTTATTGAATGGGAATTATGTTTTAAAAATCACATCGTCTAAATGCAATCCATTACGATCACGGCACTCATATAAACGACGTCTAAAATTGTCGATGACTGCGCGGCAAGTCAACACTGTAATGCTTGCCATTTTTCTTCGGATATTTTGTTTCAGGACATCAACTGATCGCGGAGTGGTGTCGTACACTTTACTCTTGAGGTAGCCCCATAAAAAGAAGTCCATTGGGGTCAAATCTGGACTACGTGGTGGCCAGGAAATGTATCCTCTTCGAGAAATTACTTTGCTGGGAAAAAGTTGACAGACGACGGGCATAGAAGTGTTGGAGGTGTGGGCAGTTGCTCCGTCCTGATGAAACCAGGTCTGCGTATTATAGCCTGGAAAATTCTGCAACGCTGGTGTCAAAAACTCTTCTATCATTGCTACATACCGCTCCGAAGTAACAGTTAATGCGCGACCTCTGTCGTCCTCAAAAAAATAAGGGCCTACGATGCCATGCGCTGACATAGCGGCCCAAACTGTAACTTTAGGGCTGTGTAAGGGCTTCTGATGCTTACGCCTTGGATTTTCGGGGCTCCAATAACGGCAATTTTGTTTATTTACATGCCCGTTTAAATGGAAGTGAGCCTCGTCCGAGAACAGCACATTATTGAGCGAAGAAAATCGATTCAACATTTCATTCGCAAAGTTTAGTCTCTGGATATCGTCATTATCTTTTAATTCCTGCACTAACTGAATTTTGTAAGCGTGCAGACGTAAATCTTTCCTTAACATCCGCTGTAAAGATGTTCTGGGTACGTTTAGTGCACTGGAACGCTTACGAGTAGACTGGGTAGGATTTTGACGAATAGACTGTGCCACAATGTTGATGTTTTCTTCAATACGAGTTGTCCATTGGTCGACCTCACCGCTGTTTATCTAACGTCGAACCAGTCTCTTCGAACTTAGCAACTCAGTTCTTAATCGTTTGAGCTGTTGGACACTTTGTAAAATTGTGTAAATTGTGGTATTCTCGATATTTACGCCGCGCAATGGTTGCCGAATCATTATTTTGATAAAACGCGCGCACACAAAAAGCACGATCCGCTCCAGTGAAACACTCCATGGCGACTGAATTCCCAGACACTGAAGATACTGCCCCCACCTCGCCTGCGCCGCTCACGCTCACCCGTTAAATTTCATTCAAATTTGAAATTTCAAAGGACTTATGGACCACCCTGTATAATGCAAGCAACACCGTTAAATGATGATTCTCTTAAAGTGATGTGTGTAACCAATAATCAATTCGTTTATTTTCCAGTGAAACCACCGCCGCCCCCAGTGAGCCCGTGCGTGCCGTCTCCATGCGGCGTGAACGCCGAGTGCAAAGCTGTGAACAACCGCGCCGTATGCACCTGCATCCCGGGTATGTTCGGAGCGCCGCCCAACTGCCGCCCCGAATGTCTCATCGACCAGGACTGCCCCCTGACGCTAGCCTGCCTCGCCAACAAGTGCAGGGATCCCTGTGTAGGCACATGCGGCTTCAACGCCCAGTGCAACGTCGTCAACCATCGTCCGATTTGCAGCTGCCTGCAGGGATTCGAAGGGGACCCTTTCACGGAGTGCGCGCCTATTCGCGGTAAGTTGCATGTGGGGTTTATTTGGTGGTGGGGTTTGTACTGGATCTTCAAAGGGACCGATGTGGCAATATAGTGTGGACTGCAGCTAATAGGATTTGGCAGTTATTGATGAACGGGCTGTTGGAACTTCAGTCCTGGTTTGACTTCACGTCATTTCCTGCTCATATAGAGATTTGCGGAAATTCTATACCGGATATATTCAGAAAAAGGAGCAAAGATTTAAGTTGTGGATTTTTAAGTATCGCTTGGAATATTTTTTCCTTTGAAAATTTCTGAAAAACCGATTTATTTCGAAGATACGGGACAAGGAAACATTTTAAAAGTGGCTTACTCGCTAGCAGAAGCAACATGTCAATCTCTATACAAGCACTGTTCAAAAGAACTACTTTTGACCAGAATGAAAGAGCTCTTCGTTCCAGATTGAAGACTCTTTCAAATATACCAGTATCATTTCTTATTGAGCTACATCAAAATCAGGATAGTTTCTCGTGGATTTATTACAGAAACACATGGAGTTCATTAGAGATGTCGAAGAGTATAGCGTACCCAATTATTTACCGGACTTGAGCTCTGTAGCCTGAATATAGAAGAAAAAGAAGAAAAAACCTGGTCAAATACTAGCTTCTCCTGAAAGTGATAACAAAAATAAAAGCTTCGCAGAAAGTTCAAGCTTTTTACTCTGAAGTTACTACTTTTGCTACGGGAGTAAAAGCCCAAGTTGAAAGTAATCCTGTGATTGTCTCGCTGATCAACCTCCATATTCTATTGGATAAATCAAATCAGAGTTTACTAATGTTTCGGCGGCCTCGGTGGCCTCTTTCAAACTAGAAATCAAAATGACACTGACAACATAGTTTATTTTCTATGGGGCTACCTGAACTTTTATATTATTCCAGGGAAAAGTAGAAGATCTGGGTATTTGGATATTTCTGAATGCAACTCAATAAGAAAAAGCCTTGATGTTACAAGAGCTCAACAAGAGGAGAAGACAGCAGTCTTGCATTCTAGCTACACCAAATCGAATCAAACGTAAAATAAACGTAAAACATCGATAAAACAGAACGCAAAAGAATCGTCAATAAACAAAATAGCCTCAGAATAATGAGTGAACCCTGCAGTTTTTGTCCGCTTTGCCGCAACGGAGCCTTTTGAGAACCATGTATAAGCACTATTAAGCTTAAGACAATTCAGTATCATTTTAGTAAAATCCAATGTGAACCCAGAATGCAGAAGATTTTGTCTTTATATGTTATTTTCTATATATTCTCGTTATCTTTACCTATAGCTCCTTCAACAAAATGATATTGAAACAATCTATAAAAATATCATCTTCACTTCATTTTGCATTGTATATCTTATATCGTAGATTTATATTTAGCTTCTTCAATTGTTTCTTTCTCTCTCATAGCTTTGTCTGTAGCTTTAAAGACTAAAGCAGCAATTACTGTAAAGAAATTTCTGCTTCAGTCTGCATTGTTTCTATATCTCTCAACATTGTAGCTTTATCTGTAGCTTCTCAAAAGTAAAGTTGTAATCTATTCTTGTATTATTCTTTGTATCGGTGTTTTTAGCAATATAGCTTTATTTGTGGCTTCTTAAATGTAAAGTTGAAATATTTGTACCAAACAGGCTATAACGCTTAGAGCGAAATTGTCCAAATGCCTATGATAATAATCACATGGAACCTACTTAAGTTTGAGGTTATTTTTGCTTGCCGCAACAGAGCTAGGACTATATCTCCAGGCCTTAAAGCTTGTATGTTCTAGATCATTGCATTTTGTTCAACCGATCAGTGAAACATTTTGTTTGACAAAAATACTAACATAAACGTATACTGATATAAGAGATAATTGACCTTTTTCTTAGCTCCTTGGTCTGATCTGTTTTGAAGTATCCCGCTGGATGTCACAAGCACAGATTGACACAAGTGATTCTCTGTTAGTGTTTTTGTTACAAAATCGTTCTTTTCATGACCTACTTGCATGAGTTTCCTGTATATACTCTATCCATCCTTCATATCTGCTATTCTATGCATGTTCAGTAAGAGAAGAACCTCGTGATCCGTGTCATCCGTCACCTTGCGGTTCCAACGCCATCTGCACGGAACGAAACGGTGCTGGTGCATGCTCCTGCCTCGAAGGCTACTTCGGCGACCCATACTCTGGATGTAGACCGGAATGCGTGACCAACAACGACTGTCCACACAGCAAAGCATGCTTGGCCATGAAATGCGTCGATCCATGCACAGGCTGTTGCGGAGTAAATGCGGAATGTAGAGTGGCGAATCATAATCCGCAATGTCAGTGCTTGCCCGGTTTCACTGGAAACGCGCTGGTGTTTTGTAGAGAATTTGAACCGAGTAAGATTTGAAGTCCTTAGGTTAATGTTGGTCCTTGGACAGGGAGGTTTGTGTGAGGATTTGGTCGAGAGCTCCAGTCAGAAATCAATGAGATAATGAGACACTTTAGCAACGTGTGCACGACAGTAGTTGCTGTACATTTTACTGACCATTAGTAACCAATAGAATCTTCCTATGTTTATTGATTGAAAAAGTTACAATTAATCTTAATAAATACATCAAAACTACCACTCAACCCCTGGAAGTGTTGCTAATGACCTTATTAAGCTATTTGCTTCTTCTTTCACAGTATGATTCGTGACTTAGAAATATCAGTTACTAAGGCCCGTATCGTCAGTCGTCACAATTGTAGGGCGCGTTTATGGCCTCCTTGATTGTCATACTCCTTTCTCTCCTTCAAAAATTTCTAGATTACACTTGTCCCGTGTCAGCGTCAGCGCTCTCCTATTGTAAAGATATGTTTTCTTTTTAAATTGTAGGAAATTTCAGGCTGATAAAACATGATATAACCCAAAAGCAAGCACAATTTGATGCAAATAGATGTTTGTGACATAACCTCAAAATAGAGCGCTAACACGGAGAAGTAGAAAACGATGACAATCAAGGAGGCCATAAAGGCGCCCTACAATTGTAGGGACGACTGAGGATACGGGCCTAAATTACATTTCGTAGAATACAGCATAACTTCCTTTTTCAAAACTTAAATCCCATTGTATGATTCAGAACCTTTTTATTTGTTTTTCATAATGCAGGCACATTTCTAAAACTTTTTTTGCCATTGTTTTGAAGACCAAATCTGATAGGTGACGTTCCCCATCCCCCAAGCACTGATTAAACCGATTTCTGGCATTTCTCTTCCTGGTTGTTGGTATTAAAATCTTGTAGTGGCTTTGGGCAGCTCTCATCAATTCGGAAACCAAATAGAAAGAAATCACAAGGAACCAAATCGGGAGAGCGAGCCGGCCACTTCAAATCGTTCTTAATTGAGACGAGGTGTTCCGGAAACTGTTCACTAAGAACAGCAATCGATGTTCTTCAGGTGTGTGCCGTTGTAATATCGGGTCGGAACCAAATGACCCACAATTCCAATTGATCTATCCGAGGAAAAAAATCCTGTAACATGTCACGACGACATCATTTTCCTCAAAGAATCTGGGACCAATATTCCCAGCTGAGGAAATTGCACACCACACTGTGACTTTAGGTGAATGTAAAGGTCTTTGTTGCAATTATCGAGGATTGGTGTCAGCCCAGTAGCGCATGTTATGTTTGTTGACCGATCTACACAAATGAAAATGAGCTCGATCGCTAAAAAAAACAATAGCGTCTTCAGGAACGACTTCGTGTTCATCCAAGAATCGAAGTCACGTACAAAAAGTTCCTGAACAATTGCCATCTTGTAACGATGGAAATGAAGATCATCAGGAAGCAATCTCCACATAGAATGATCGCAAAGTCCAAGGTCAGACGCAACATTTCCACGTGACCGAATGGGCCGAGAGACTCCAGTTCTTCGTTACCCATTTTCTTCTTCAATTCTTTTAGAAGTTATCCCTTTTAGTATATTTCTGGACATCTCGAGCAGTTCTCACTGAATCCCCCTAAGGACAGACACGTAACCTTCTCCTAACATTCTTCATTCAGTTGTAGAAATCTTACCGAAACCCAAGCCATGTTCACCATCACCTTGCGGGCCTTACAGTATCTGTAGAGAAGTAAACGACAGGGCGATTTGTTCGTGTAGCCCTAGCTATGTAGGAGCACCTCCAAATTGTAGACCGGAATGCGTAGTGAACTCTGAGTGTCCTCAAAATAGAGCATGTCAAAATCAGAAATGCATTGATCCATGTCCTGGAACTTGCGGATATAATGCTCTGTGTAAATGTGTGGTGCATAGCCCGATATGTAGTTGTCCGCCTGGGTGGACTGGAGACCCTTTTGTTGGGTGTATCAAGGAAGAGAGTAAGCATGATTTTCTCGGTAGGCTAAGAATCCTTTGTTAGACAAATAAGGGTCAGTGCTGTGTCTACCTCAATATCAATTGTTGTTCGTCTCATAAAAGCTGCCATACAATCAAACCAAATAATTTGCCTCAGAGATTTGGTCTTATCACTAGACCTTATAGCAAGAAAGACAATTAATCTACATATAGTATACGTCAATCGTTTGAATGATGTAATTTTGTATGAAGGATTTGAAGTCAAAAAGTGTAAAAATACTAGACATATCCTTATGATCTCTTTCCAGCAATCGATTCTTCGCCTACACACTGTCTTCCCATCTTCAGCTTTCTGCATGTTTCTGTTATTTGTAGAGCGTCCAGCTATAGTCCACAAGCCTGTCAATCCTTGCATACCGACACCATGCGGACTATTCTCCGAATGCAAAGTCATAGGTGACCGACCAGTATGTTCTTGTTTACCCAATTATTACGGTCATCCGCCAAACTGTAGACCTGAATGTACCGTTAGCTCAGAATGTCCTTCAACAAGAGCGTGTGTGAACCAAAGATGTGTTGAGCCGTGCGCCGGTTCTTGTGGAGTAAATTCGGAATGTAGAGCGGTCAGCCACACGCCTGTATGCTACTGTTCGCCAGGCTTTACGGGGGATCCGTTTTCTGGATGCTATCAATGTAAGCAAATGTTCGGGAGCAAGCGTTCTTGTTGATAGGTCCTTAGTTGTGTGATTTGTGCAGAGTTGCTGTTGATGATTTTAGTCCAATGCTTGCATGCATTGAAACAACTCAATATTGTTTATTCAAAATCCTTCATATAGGTATAGGTGCTTGCAAATTGATACTTCACGCGAAAGCTCATTCAAAAAAGTCTCTGAGAATGGTGATTTTTGAGTCACATATCAGCAACAACTCTCGAATGGATCAAAGAATGAGCAATCCTGACACAAAACATACAATTTCGGGTAAACCAATCACTGCGTACAACTATTTATGACAAATATATTTTAGTGGTTATAAAAGAAGAACCGGCACATCCATGCAATCCATCACCTTGTGGATCGAACGCAATCTGTAAAGAGCAAAATGGTGCAGGCTCGTGTCTCCTGCCTTCCAGAATATTTCGGAGATCCTTACTCTGGATGTAGACCAGAATGTGTGATGAATTCCGATTGCCCCAAAGACAAATCTTGTGTGAATAACAAATGTAAAGATCCCTGCCCGGGTACTTGTGGGATAAATGCAGATTGTAGGGTAACAAATCATGTGCCGACCTGTAGTTGTTTGCCAGGATTCACTGGAGATCCACTCCGTGCTTGCCATGAACCACCTAAAGCCAGTAAGAATACTTCCAACTTCTTTCTTCTCTCTTTGTCACCACACGGTAGTACCATGGTATTTCTTCCAAAGATAGTTCAAATAGTGTTAACGTTATCAAAGCCTATGAATATTCATCAACATCAGCATTCAATTCTTTCCCACATAAAAATGAGTGAATCGGTATCACTATAAAATAAGCGAGTTAGAAGTTGATAGCTTTTTTAAGAGCTAATATACAGCAAATTTATATTAATATGTGAGATACTTCAAATAGTGTTAGCTTTATCAAAGCCCATGAATATTCATCAACACCAGCATTCAATTCTTTTCCACATAAAAATGATTGAATCGGTATCACTATATAATAAGCGAGTTAGCAGTTGATAGCTTTTTTATAAGCTAATATACAGCAAATTTATATTAATATGTGGCATTGTAGCATAATAGGAAATGAAGATCGAATTAGCTTAGTATAAATGAGTACCAGTTGTAAATGATCATAAGGGAACTTGCTCATATCACCGAGTCAGCATAATGTCGTTTTCCCGTGTTGTGTATTTATTTTTTTATATAGCGCTACTATTACAACCTTACTCATGTTTAGGACTGTTTAAGAACCATGGTACCAGTTGTGTGTGTCAACTTTATTCTCTCTTTCACACTTCTTCTCTTGTAGTTGAAAAACCTGCCAACATAGCTTGCCTACCCTCACCTTGTGGCCCATTCAGTCAATGCAGAATAATTGGAGCCCAAGCTGTATGTTCTTGTCTACCGAACTTTGTCGGTACTCCTCCAGCTTGTAGACCAGAATGTACTGTCAGTACCGACTGTGCACCTGACAAAGCTTGCATAAATCAGAAATGTGTAGACCCTTGTCCTGGAACTTGCGGTTTGAGCGCTAGGTGCCATACGATCAATCATAATCCCATATGTAGCTGTACAGCTGGTATGACTGGAGACCCATTCGTCAGATGTGTTCAGGAAGAGAGTAAGACGATTTCTCGTGATTCTGAAGGGTCTTATTCATATAGTGACATTGATATCACGATATTTGTTTTAGTGTGCAAGTCTCAACAATTATATTTCTCCGTCCAGGTAGAATATTTGGAATAAGCTTGTACATCATCTTACAAATACTCAAAATAAAGTCATAATTTACAGTTTGCTCAGTAATACAGTCGGTTAACCGAAGCTCAACCTGAAATAACCCTAGATGCGAAAAAGCTATTGAGAAAATCTTTAATGTAATCAATCTTCTTTTGGAGTCAGAATAAGCGTCATTGTGATATCAATGTTCTCATATGAGGATCCCTTCGACAAAGCACTTACTGAAATCATTTTTAGAACGTCCAGAACCAAGACCGAGCGAAAACCCATGCGTCCCATCGCCGTGTGGCTTGAATTCAAACTGTAGAGTCATTGGAAACACTCCTGCATGTTCCTGCGTCCCCGGGTACATTGGCGCTCCACCAAATTGTCGACCTGAATGTACGATCAATTCTGAATGTCCTGGAAATCTTGCTTGTATTAATCAGAGATGCAAAGATCCATGTCCTGGTTCTTGTGGTTCTCAGACCACGTGCACAGTTGTGAAGCACTCACCAAACTGTTTGTGCGTGCCTGGATACACTGGAGATCCATTTGTTGGATGCTCGCCCATTCCAGTACAGGCCGTAGAAGAAGAGCGTAATCCTTGCAGCCCGTCACCATGTGGAGCAAATGCAGTGTGCAGGGAACAGAATAACGCAGGGTCCTGTGCTTGCATTGCTGGATACTCGGGCGATCCTTACACAGGCTGTAGACCTGAATGTGTGACAAACACAGATTGTCCTAAAGATAAGTCGTGCATCAATAATAAATGTAAAGATCCATGCCCGGGGATGTGTGGAATCAACGCCGAGTGTAGGGTGTTCAACCATGCGCCATCTTGTTTCTGTTTGGAAGGATATACTGGAAGCCCGACAACCGCTTGTCATGTTTACCAACCTCGTATGTATTTCTTTCTTTCTCTCTCCTCGGAATGCATAGGTATTGCCGATTTTATATATTCAGAACTTATTAGATATAGTTGAAAAGCTCAGTATACTAGATACGACAAAATCACTCTTGTTTCAACATGTATTGTTGCTTCCTAGAGATTCTTCAATACCATTCTTCTGTAATTCGTAAAAAAAACAAGTGCAATACCAAAGTATTCCGTAACAAATCTGCTCTCTTTCAACTCTATTACGGTACGCTTTACTTCTGAACTTTTTCTTTAGCTCTATCTCTACCAAAAGTGGAGCCTTGTCAACCATCTCCATGCGGTCCTTATAGTCAATGCAGGGTGGTGAACGACCACGCAGTATGTTCTTGCATAGCAAACTACATCGGCACACCACCATCTTGTAGACCAGAATGTATGATCAGTGCCGATTGTCCATTGGACAAAGCTTGTATCAACTCAAAATGCGAGGATCCATGTCCAGGAACATGCGGATTGAACGCTCGATGTCAAGTTGTCAATCACAATCCTATTTGTAGTTGTTCGGCTGGATTTACTGGAGATCCGTTCATCAGATGTGTCCAGGAAGAAAGTAAGATTTCGTTGGATGTCAACTGGGACTGGCTAACACAACTTTGAACAAATGTGATTTCCACGGACTATGACAGTTTTTTCTATACATCCCATTGATTGATTGATTGTTCTTCCCATCATGACTTACTGGGACTCAAGCTATAAACACATGAAAAATGCATATCCGTGGAAATATTTGTTGAATTCAGTGTTTAACCAGTCTCGTTCCACCAAAACCTAAACAACCGATTCTTCAGGAAAACCGGAACCCGCACGCAATCCTTGCGACCCATCTCCGTGTGGTCCGAACTCGCAATGCAGAGTTGTTGGTAACACCCCAGCCTGTTCTTGCTTACCAAACTTCATAGGACATGCACCAAACTGTAGACCAGAGTGTGTTATAAATGCTGAATGTCCAGGAAACTTGGCTTGTCAAAGAGGAAAAGTGCACTGACCCCTGTCCAGGATCTTGTGGAACAAATACTGAATGTACTGTGGTCAGTCACAGGCCTGTTTGTAGTTGTAAGGCTGGATATACTGGAGATCCATTCGCTGGGTGCAGCTTAGTACCAAGTAAGAGGCTGTCCGTGTCGCAGTAAATGAGATGTCTCAACAAGATAAATAGTTGGAAAAGATAGGTTTCCAGGATTGATACATGACTGTATGTCCAAATTTGCTTAATGTAAATATTTTTATGGTACTGTTAGTTTCGTAACATTAGTGAAAACATGATTTTTCTATTTAATGCCTGTCTCAATCCTGGACCCAAACTAACTCTCCGTCTTGTTAGACAGACTCTGGACACGGCACGTCTCAAACCAACCTCAAATTTTAGTCGTTCAACCAACGGAAGCACCACCAGAACCATGCAATCCCTCTCCATGTGGAGCTAACGCGATATGTAAAGAAAGAAATGGTGTCGGTTCTTGCACGTGCATACCAGAATACTTCGGGGATCCTTATACAAGCTGTAGACCAGAATGTGTAACAAACTCTGACTGCAGTAGAGAAAAGGCGTGTGTAAACAATAAATGTAAAGACCCTTGTCCTGGAACTTGTGGAATAAACGCAGAATGTAACGTCGTCAATCATGCTCCATCATGTTCTTGTCTACCTGGATACACTGGCAACCCTCTCACTTCCTGTAGACAACCACCACCTAGTAAGCTATCTTCCGCTGTAGGTCAGTCTTTGCGCTGTTTGGTGTTGAAGCGCATCTGATTGAATTACCTTTTGTTAGAATCCAATACACAAATTAGTAGTGATAATAGGAAACAGCTTATATTTTATGGAGTCTACATGATTCAAGCTTATTGTAACATCCTTCTTTTGAAAAGTGTTAGTAAAAGATGACTTCCACTCCATATCAACAAAAAGACTGATCTGCATGTGCTCTCTACTCTTTGCTATATCTTCATCTTCCTTCAGCTCCGGAACCAAGAGGCAATCCATGCGTACCGTCCCCTTGTGGACCTTACAGTATTTGTAAAGAGATTGGTGGTCACGCTGTATGCTCATGTCAAGCAAACTATATTGGAACCCCACCTGCATGTCGACCTGAATGCATGGTTAGTTCAGAATGTCCACAGAACAGAGCATGCATAAACAATAAGTGTACAGATCCTTGTCCAGGAACATGTGGAATAAATGCACGTTGTCAAGTTGTGAACCATAATCCTATATGTAGCTGTCCGCAGAATTATGTTGGAGATCCTTTCGTTAGATGTGTGGTAGAAGAGAGTAAGCTTTATGTTCTTTCGTTAGTTCATGCTGGTTGCTCCGAAAGCTTTGGAAATGTTTGCATGCTTGTATTCCGCTCAATCATTGGAGTATTTTAATGTATCTTCTCGGATAGACTGTATCTTCCATGCTTCATGCTTATTTGAGAAAGCACTAGAACCTGCTTTTTGTCATGTCAATTCAACAACAAGCAGCATGAGTCACAGATTCAGTGACTTTAGAAGATACATTCGATCAGATATTAGTGGTTCGACAGTATTATTATTTTGTGAAGTAGAATTATCATCACATGTTTTACGTTGCATGTTCTTCTATAGTGAAGTAGCCTGTTGATGAAATTCTGTATCTTATTAGATAAAGTGTAGGTATTGGGGTCAATTGAAACGGAGATGGAAAAGGGTATACAGTCCATCACTATTCTAAGGTTTGCGCAATTGCGATTTATAGACAGACTCCAGTGCGAATGAGACAATGCTGTTTCTCGTAGGACTTGAGACTGAATCATATCTATTTCCGCCTATTTCATGCTTCCAAAGCTTTTGGACCTCCAAGCGTTCCTATATTCTTGCTAGTATCTATCTTTACTCTATGCATGTACGTTCTTTCATGTTTTTAGAAAAACCAGAACCAATTGGAGACCCATGTAGACCCACACCATGTGGTCCAAACTCACAATGCAGAGTTGTCGGTAGTCAAGCTGCATGCTCTTGCTTGCCGAACTTTATAGGTAGACCACCGAACTGTAGACCCGAATGTACTATAAACGCAGAATGTCCTGGAAATCTTGCATGTCAAAATGAAAAATGTAGGGACCCTTGTCCAGGGTCTTGTGGATCTTTCACTTCTTGTGTAGTTGTAAAGCATGCACCTGTTTGTCGATGTGTTGATGGATATACTGGAGATCCTTTCACTGGCTGCAGTCTCATACCGCCTAGTAAGATCTTTCTCTTTCTTTTGGTAGCAGTTTTATGTCGTCCCAGTGCTTGCTGAATCAACGTTATGAGTTTCAGGGGTACAGAAATTTTAAATAGGATATCAACCATATTACATAAGTGACACAATAAGGTGAACTCTTAAGGTTGAAATCATAAAATGGCTATTCTCAAATTATTTTTGGAACCTTAGTAACTAATAAATTATTATGTGTCAAGTTGTGTGCTTGTTACGTTAAATACTGTGTTTCAATACAGTCGTTGTTTTTTGATCTCGTATCAACTTCTATAAAGTAAGCGCTGGGACCTGGATTTAATCATTCTGTTATCTTTTTAGCTTGCATAAGTATCCTTCACAGTATCTTATTATTTGTATTTCGTAACTATGTATCTTTCTCATTTTGCTGTAGTGCATCGTATCGACTATTCTGACGAATTTTCATACTATTGCTCGATTTAGAAATTCAATTCAGTATTCAGAATATTTGGACATCAAGTATTCTGAAAATTTTTCGATACGATGCTCTTTTCGCGTTCCTTTCGACGTGAATCCAGTGGAATTGTCTTACTTTGGAAATAAACCAATCAAGTTGGAACATGATACCACAAAGACTTGAGACAGGAGGTGGGGTTGAAGCCAAGTGTCGAAGAGTACACTGCGCAGGAAATGAAGTTCAGTTTTTGCGCATATGGAATATCTCTAATATGTACACTGCGCAGAAAACTATTTTCAGGTTTTGCGCATTTGATATCTCTTTCTGTTGCTGTCTGTGGCGACTGGATTGACTCCATAAGAATACGTGTTACCATAAGCAATTTAATCTCTTATCTCAAGTCTTCGTGCATGACATACAGGCTGTTCCAAACGTATACACAGATCCAAATATCTCGGAAACTAAAAGTGTTAGAAAAAACTTTGAATGCAGAATTTTTAGGAAATTAAATAACGCTTCTAGTGGTGATCTTGGATTTGACGTTGACATCCATCTTGAAGGTCATTTCAGAGGCAAGTTGATTTTTTTCAAATGGGAACCCCCATTTTTATTGCAGAAATAGAAAAAATCCGTTTCAACTGTTTAAATACCATAGGGGCAAAAATTAGATCTAGAGGTTATTTCAAGGTCAAAGTTGCTATTTCATGAAATATTGCAACGGATGACTGAGAAGAGAAGAAGATTCAAGAAGAACTCTTAGTGCAGAAATTTCGGGATAGTCAATTCTGACCTTGGCTATGACCTTGAAGGTCAATTCAAGAACACATTGATTTATTCACATTAAAACCCTCAATTTTGATCCCAGCGCTAAAAATGGAAAAAATTCCATGTTCAAAGGTTGCATATTAACGGCGGTAAAATCACAGCAAGAGGTTATTTTAAGGTCAAATGACCTATTTTTGTGGATTAGACTGAATCGGCCGATAGTATTTGCAGGTGTAAAATATTCAATTTTACCTTCAAGGTCATAGCCAAGGTTAGAATGAAGGTCGCTATTATATGTGCCGTTGGGTATTCCGCAATTTTCGCATTGAAAGTTCTTCTTTAATATTATCTCTTTTCCAGCTTTGCAGCAATATTGCATGAAATAACGACAATTGACCTTGAAATAACCTTTCGATGTAATTTTAGCCCCTATTATATTATACCGTTAAGAAGGAAATTTGTCTGGCTTCCTGTTGCTGCTTATTTGAATGAATTAGCTTGACCTTAAAATGACCTTCAAGGTGAATGTCAACATCAACTCCAAGGTCGCCGCAAGGTGCGATATTTGATTTCCTTAAATTTTTATTTTCAAGGTTATTTCTACCACCCTTAGTTTTCGAGACATTTGGATGTGTCCATACCTTTGATTGATTTGATTCATAAAACACAATTTGACTGGATCATGCACTATACTGAATGCTTGTATTTTATTTCTCTTTTTGCATGAGCATACTTCTTATTTGTAGCCGCCATCACAGAGCAGCCTCCGCAACCTTGCAACCCTTCACCATGCGGTGCCAATGCAATTTGCAAAGAGCGCAATGGCGCGGGAGCATGTTCTTGTCTACCAGAATATTTCGGAGACCCATATACCGGATGTAGACCAGAATGTGTGACGAATTCTGAGTGCGACAGGAGTCGCGCATGTGTTAACAATAAATGCGTGGACCCATGTCCTGGCACTTGTGGCCTGAACGCAGAGTGCCAAGTTGTGAATCATGCGCCATCCTGCACTTGTATACCGGGATATACTGGGGACCCGATCAGGGCATGTCAACTGGTTGTTAGTCCCGGTGAGCTATTTGGAGCTATTTGTCATGATTGTTTTAATGTGGTAGTACTTCTTAGAAGAAATTCAGATTTCCAACTGCAACTACAGCCCTCATATCAATGTAAGGCTACAAGCAACGAATTTGAATGGATTAGAAGGATCCAAGCCTATTTTCACATTGCGTTGTGTGTCACCAAAATTGCCTAATTTTACTGCATACGTTTAGAACATTTGTCTACAAATGTTACCAAAGTGCAGCTTTGTATCAACATCAACTACTTTTAATACCACAATTACCTGCAAATAATCCCACTTGTAAGAAAAAATACTGAATATACGAATTTAATGACAGAACTGTAAAAAAAATGACTTAAGACAAGTGCACTTTGATCCTCACTACATACTATGAGACTTAAAAGACAAACAAATCCTTGACTAGGTCCTTCTACCTAATCTGAATTCATTGTTTGGACGTTGATAATGTCAGTACTTTCACAAACTTGGGAACCCCCATACCAACCTGATGAATCATACTGTATCAGTACTACCACATTATACTCATCCCGAAGTACTCAGTTCAATCCTTACTGATGATCGCCCTCAACTCAGTTGTAGAAGAACCGCCTCACCCATGTCAACCGTCACCTTGCGGCCCCTACAGCCAATGTCGCGAAGTCAACGGACACGCGGTGTGCTCGTGCAACGTGGGCTACATTGGCACTCCGCCCACTTGCAGACCGGAATGTATGGTCAGCTCAGAATGTCCGCAGGACAAAGCTTGCGTCAAGCAGAAATGTGTGGATCCATGCCCCGGCACTTGTGGCATCAACGCGAACTGCAAAGTTGTCAATCACAATCCGATATGCAGCTGCTCAGGAGGACTCACTGGAGATCCATTTGTCAGATGCGTCAAGGTTGAACGTACGTTGTTTCTTCGGGTGGCTTGGATATTGATGATTTGGCATTTAAGGACACCTCCAATTGAACAAAATATATAATTTACCAACATAGAAAGTCGAATGCTAGTCGTTCCAATAGCTATCAAATATCAAAAGATGTAATTACATGCTGAAACTCCATGTTGTTACGATATTCTTGAGAAGCTTGTCAGTAGTAGCCATATTTTTATTAAATATATTTACCATGATTAGAGGTGTTAAACACAAAGCAGTAAATGAAACAACTGTCCAAAGCCGTAATGCCAAACCACCAATATCTCTTGTTTCTTCCTTTCTAAACCCTCTTCTTTTCAGTACCCCCTCCGCCCAAACAGATCGGCAACCCTTGCGTTCCTTCACCATGTGGACCAAACTCGCAATGTAGGGTAGTCGGTAGTCAGCCTGCATGTTCTTGCCTTCCAAACTTCATAGGTAGACCACCAAACTGTAGACCCGAATGTATAAACGACTCTGAATGTCCGAATAACTTGGCATGTAGAAACGAGAAATGTACTGATCCGTGTCCAGGTTCTTGTGGAGTAAATGCTCAATGCACTGTTGTAAATCATAGCCCTACATGTTCTTGTCTGCCTGGATATATTGGAGATCCGTTCAATGCATGTTCGTTGCCTGTTCCATGTAAGATATATTTACTGAGTATTTTTCTCTAACAGTATCATAAGAAGCTATCCAAAATTAAGACCACAATGGTTTTATGTAAAATGAAATACTTTCTCTGGATCAAATAATTTTGGATAGTGCCATACTAACATTATCATCATTTTTCGGCATATAGATATTTTTCACTCTGTATCACCACTTTCTACTACTATTTTATCTGATTTCTCCTATCTAAATTTTATCTAGGAAATCCACAGCATTGGACAAAACTACCTTGTAGACTTCCTATAAATATTTTTCCATATTTTTTATTTGTCTTCTTTGATGTTAGCCCAATTGCCCTCAGTGGTGAATGGCAGATCCATGGTGTAAAAAATTGCTTTACGGTGATACTGATATGTCGCTTCAACATTACAGCTACTGAAAGAACACCAGCGTCTCCATGTAATCCATCACCTTGTGGACCAAATACTGATTGTCAGGAACGTAACGGTGCTGGAGCATGTCTTTGTCGCAATGGATTCATGGGTGACCCCTATGATCAAGTCAAAGGATGTCACAGGTAAGAATCAGAGATTGGAATTATTCCATCCATCACAATTTTTCCTTTGACGGTGCAAATGCATATTGCCATCACACGTTAGTAAAGTGTGATTTTTTGTTTATATTTTATGCAATTTCTTCTTACAGGGAATGTGAGCTTCACTCCGATTGTAAATCCAATCTGGCATGCATTTCTTACAAATGCGTGGACCCATGTCCAGGAACCTGTGGAGATTTAGCAGAATGTCACGTCCATAATCACATTCCAAATTGTGTCTGTCCTAGTGGATTTACAGGAGATCCATTCTTGGCTTGCAAGCTGATTCCTGAACAACCAAGAATTCCAGAGAATCCATGCCAACCGTCGCCTTGTGGACCGAACAGCCAGTGTAGAAATGTCAACGACCAAGCGGTTAGTAATGTTACAAATAATGAAGAAATATGATCAACCATACACATCAGCATAAGAATCAGCTGAAGCTATAGTAATGCCCAATTACTGTTGCATATTATTTGTTTACACGATAATAACATGAAGTATATATCCACAGTTTCTATATAGTAGTGCAGCTCTTAAGTTATTTGAAAGTTGCTCGATACATCAATTGACAGCATCCATGTTTTGCTCTAGGTTTGTTCCTGTTTACCATCCTACATCGGAAGCCCACCAAACTGCCGCCCGGAGTGCATCGTGAGCTCAGAATGTCCGGCAGACAAAGCTTGTATCAACCAAAGATGTAGCGACCCTTGTCCAAATACTTGCGGCTTGAAAGCTGTTTGTACTACGAAGAACCACAACCCGATATGCGCTTGTCCACCAGGCTTCACTGGAGATCCGTTCACCAGATGTGCTCCACAACGTAAGTCCTTCAGTTATATTATTTTTTCGTGTATACCTTGTCAATGGTATACTACTTCCAAGTTTGCGATATTTCCAGTTCTATAACACTGTCTGTCAATTGTCTCATGGCTAAGGCTCTATTTAACTTGTAAAGACAATTACGTCATCGTGATAGTAGCACTACCTTCTGATAAATGCTATCTTGTTTATAACTACTAACTGAGTTATTTTTTGCAGGTGTGGAGGAGCCAGTGACAACAGAGCGACCACCATCTTGCTCCCCATCGCCATGTGGCCCCAACTCTCAATGCAAGATTGTCGGCAACACTCCAACTTGCTCCTGCCTACCGAATTACATCGGTTCTCCACCAAACTGCAGGCCAGAGTGTGTCCTCAACTCCGAATGTAACAGCCAACTGGCTTGCATCAACCAGAAATGCAAGGATCCGTGTCCAGGATCGTGCGGTGTAAACGCCCAGTGCCATATCGTCAACCACGTGCCTATTTGTACCTGTATCGAAGGGCATACCGGTGATGCTTTCACCAGATGCAACTTGATTCCTCCTGTTACTACACCAGCTCCTCCTACGGACCCTTGCAATCCTTCGCCGTGCGGACCGAACGCGGACTGCCACAATGGCGCTTGCACTTGTCTTCCAGAATATATCGGGAACCCGTACGAGTCTTGCAGGCCCGAGTGTGTGCTCAGCAACGAGTGCTCCAGAGATAAGGCTTGTATCAGGAACAAATGTAAAGATCCTTGCCCGGGTACTTGCGGACAGAACGCTAGATGTGACGTCATCAACCATATCCCAAGCTGTTCTTGCCCAGATGGTTTTACAGGAGATCCGTTCACAAACTGTAGGGTCCAAGAGCAACCGCCACCAAGGATTGCAAACCCTTGCAACCCGTCACCTTGTGGACCGAACAGCCAATGTAAAAACATCAACGATCACGCGGTGTGCTCTTGTTTGCAAGGCTATCAGGGAGCTCCACCGTCCTGCAGACCAGAATGTCTCGTGAGCGCCGAATGTCCACAGAACAGAGCATGTGTCAACCAAAAATGTATCGATCCATGTCCGGGATCTTGCGGCGCCAACGCTAGATGTGAAGTAAGGAACCATAGCCCTATTTGTAGTTGCCCCGAAGGACAAACCGGAGATCCATTCCAAAGCTGCAGGCTGATTCCAAAGCAACCGCCAGCGCCGCCGAAACAAGCTGATCCTTGTTTGCCGTCACCCTGTGGGCCAAATTCGATTTGTAGAAGGGTCGGTGATCAACCATCGTGCACCTGTCTAAACGGTAAGTTACTATCAAAAACTTTCGACGCACATTCTTCAATGGACTACTTACAATCAAAGTACAGTGAAATGTTTTTTGTCAGAAGAACAACTTCTTTGTTTGATACCATCAAGACTGAATATTTCACCTTCAAACTAGTTAAGGCACTAATAGCCGGCAGCAAAGGGTTGTAGAAGCTGAAGTAAATTTGTCTATTTTTATATTTCAGGTTACATAGGCAACCCGCCCAATTGCAGGCCAGAATGCGTCATCAACCCCGACTGTCCAACTACCGAAGCGTGCATCAACAACAAGTGCAAAGACCCATGTCCGGGAAGCTGTGGAGATAACGCTGAATGCAAAGTAATCACTCACACCGTCTCGTGTTCATGCTCTCCAGGCTACACAGGCAATCCCTTCGTCCAGTGCGTCATACAAGAAGTCAAGACCAACCCTTGCGAGCCGTCACCTTGTGGAGCTAACGCTGAATGCACCCAACGCAACGGTGCAGGAGCTTGTCGATGCATCCAAGACTACATGGGCAATCCTTACGAAGGATGTAGACCGGAATGTGTGCTGAGCTCGGATTGTCCCACCAATAAGGCTTGTATGAGAAACAAATGCGGAGATCCTTGTCCTGGAGTGTGCGGAAAGAACGCGGAGTGTGCGGTGATCAACCATGTGCCTACTTGTACTTGTTTGCCCGGACATGTTGGAGATCCATTCGGTAGATGTGTACCTGCCTTACCACCACGTAAGTACAAGCAATTTGCGGTCTAATATATTCCTTTCGAGTCAGCC